AGACAAGAGAATTGAGCATCCATTAGTTGATTACCGCTTAAGGTTCTTAAGTGACTATTGTTAATAACATTGAATTCGGTTACCAGTCGCTCTGAATTAGTCTCGTAATGAATCCGTTTTAGTGGGTAGATTATAGTGCATGTTCGTCGGGATCAGCCTTGGTGGAAAATGTTGTACACAGTATTCTCATCGGGAAACGGATGTGCAAGTTGGCAAGCTCCTGTCAGTCTAATTGCCTCAGTGTATGTGTGTATATATGTATATATATATATATATATATATATATATATATATATATATATATATATATGTATATATATATTGTATATATAGATAAATATATATCTATATATGTGTATATATATCAATCTATCTCTATTTTTCCATTTTTTTCTCTGTGCTTCGTTTACATCTCTCTCATTCTCTCTCTCACACGCACACGCACCCCCCCCCCCACACACACACACACGCGCGCGCATACACTCTCTTTCTTTTTCCCTCTCCCTTTTCTCTAACAGTGTATATGTATGAATATGTGCATTTGGTATAAACATTAAAACGGGTCGTTGGACACGAAATATACATCGAAACAAGGATAGTCCTCCGTAGACTTTCCTCTAATTACAGGAAAATCGTAGCAATCCACGTAAATTACAGGCTAAGCATCCCCCTTTCGTATGATATTCCGACCCATTTTAAGCCAGAAAAAGCCACCGATTCGTTGACCAAGCAGAGGCGTATTATCCTCGAGCTCAGAGGGGAAAAATAAGCTCACATGACGTCGAAGAGCTGCAGATACAGCGGGAGAAGGGGCGAGGGTATTCACCTTGGGACATGACATGCTGGTCTTAGGCCTACACACACACGCCATTATTTGCAGGGTTTTTCCTCCTGTGCTGTCACGTATGCCTACACTCCTCCCTGTGCACGCGAAGGAAAGGACGATTAGGGATCTCTCACGCACTTCGCCTTTTTGACTGCACTTAGCCTTTGAAGAGAGAGCTGTGCTTTTAGATTTTTTTTTTTTTTGGTTTTCTTTTAGACTGTAGCTTTGTAAGAAGTTTCTGTGAATCTGCCAAAAAGGGATGGGAATGTTTGGAAATCCGTGATTTTGTTTCAGTGGCTACATTAGGATTCCATAGTTTATTTCTGTTGGTTTTCTTCGATTCCAAAATTTGTTTCGGTTGGTATGCCTGCATTTCAACATTTTGTTTCAGTTGGTATGCATGCATTTCATAATTTAGTTCCAGTTGGTATACCTGGGTTTCATCATTCTGTTTTAGTTGGTACACTTAGATTCCATAATTTCGTTTTAGTTACGCTTGCATTTCACTGTTTCAGCTATTACATTTGGAATGCTAGGCATCATCATTAGGTTTTAAAAATGACCACGACACTTACTGATTTCTTATAATGCATAATCATCCAAAAAACAAACAGACAACAAATGCTTATGACCACCAAAAGCAAACAAACAAAATCGCAGCTAAAAAACCCTCATCACACCGTCCCATTAATAAGCAAAACAGGCGGAGCTGACTGCGACTGCTAGGCTAGCGACACAACCGCCTTGCTCTGTGCTTTGAACAACTTAACGACGGGCTCCTGGCAACCGCCGCGAAGGAGAATAAACTGCGGTACAAAGTGGTGTCAGGCAGTCGGGTGGGAACTGCAGTTTCGAGCTTGTGTGGATGTACAGTACATGTGGATATACATACTATAGATGCGTGTAAGGAAAGGCGAAAAGTGAGTCCGCATTAGTCTATGTAGATGTAGAACGTTTGGATGTATGCATTTATATATATATATATATATATATATATATATATATATATATATATATATATATATATATATATATGTATGTGTGTGTGTGTGTGTGTGTGTGTGTGTGTGTGTGTGTGTGTGTGTGTGTGTGTGTGTGTGTGTGTGTGTGTGTGTGTTGTGTGTGTGTGTGTGTGTGTGTGTGTGTGTGTGTGTGTGTGTGTGTGTGTGTGTGTGTGTGTGTGTGTGTGTGTGTGTGTGTGTGTGTGTGTGTGTGTGTGTGTGTGTGTGTGTGTGTGTGTGTGTGTGTGTGTGTGTGTGTGTGTGTGCACTACCACACACATACAGATTTATATGTTTATACATCCATGGATTTATATGTTTATTTATCTATTATTGAATCTCTTTCTCTTTCTCTCTCTCTCTCTCTCTCTCTCTCTCTCTCTCTCTCTCTCTCTCTCTCTCTCTCTCTCTCTCTCTCTCTCTCTCTCTCACACACACACACACATATATGTATATATATATAATATATATATATAATATATATATATATATATATATATATATATATACATATACATGTATGTATATTTGCGTGTGTATGAAATATATATATATATATATATATATATATACATATACATATATGTATGTGTATATATACATATATACATACATACATACATAATACATACATATATATATATATATATATATATATATATATATATATATA